CATACATACATACATACATTTATCCATCCAGTCACTCATCCATCCATCCATCTTCACCCACTGGATCATGCACTCACCCATCCATCCACCCATCCATTTATCCATCCATCCATCCATTTATCCATTCATCCATCCACCCACCTGCCCATCCATCTTCTTACTCATTGGCTGATGCAGCCGTTATCCATTCAGCACGGTTGTTGGGCTGTGCTTGTCTGGTTCAGGGCATGCTCCCAGTGCCAGCACAGCCACAGAGAGGACTCGCAGGATGGATGGGAGAACAGTCGGAGGATGGATAGATGGAAGGATGGCCCTTAAAACTCTTCCCTTAGATTTACACTAAGACGGGCCTGGTGCTGCTGCCGGTCAGAACCCCAAATATCCAAGATGAAGACAAGCCCACGTTGCTGTCAGATGCGAGGAGCAGAGCGTGCGCTGCAGAGGGCACAGAGATAGGAGAACAGCCAGTCAGCACTGTCAGACCAAGGGGGACTCGGAGACCTTTGTTTGGGGGGGTGGGGGGTGGCCAGGGTTTGAGGGCAGGAGGACAGAGAGAGGGCCCTCAGCCCCTACCTCTTTCCTCTTCCATGTGGGGGTCCATGTCTTCCTCTTCCTCTGGGCAAAGGTGGGCCTGGAGTGAGAGGGGGTGTCGAGTCATCAGCCCAGACCCACCCAACATCAGCCAACAGTACAGACCCCACGTCCCACGCGCAGGCTCACACGCCTGCCCACGCTCCCACACAGACTGCCCGTGGCGGACAGATGGGGGGCTCCTCCTTGTTTTGTCTCGGTCTCCCCATTTGTGGGCCGAGGAGCTTAGACCTGTCACAAGCCCGTGCTTGCTGGTTCCAGGGCTGATGAGGGGAGACTGAGGCAGGATGGGGGCTGGGCCCCTCCAAGCCTGAGCTCAGGCTTCTACCCATGGCCCCCTCCCCCACGCCTCTCTGGGGAGGGATGGTCATTAACGTCTTCCTGTCCGGGTCAGGAGCGTCTGTTTCCAAAAACATATTTCGAAGGATTATTTTGCAAAGGAAGTGTTTTTGAAAGAATCTCTTGTCCTGTTCCAGCCGAGGGAAATGGGGGCCGAAGTTAGGGTGGGGACAGGGATGGGGGTGGCCCCTGGTGGCCTGCTGGATGCCTGTCCAGATCCCCCCTCTGGCCTGCTTGGGCCCTGGAGGGGGTAAAGCTTGGGGTTGGTGGAGGGGGATGAGATGAGGGGGCAGTTGTGGGGAGAGACCCCATTCCTCATGTCCGACCCTTCCTTTGCCAAATCAGGGGGGGGACTTCTGCCTCTGACCCTGAAGTCTCTCCATAGGACTTTACTTGGAGGCTCCGCCTCTGCTTGTCCCCCCACCCTCTCCACTTCTCTGCCTGCCCCCCTCTCCCTCCCCCTCTGCCTGCCCCCTGCCCCCCTCCACCTCTGCCTGTCGCCCACCCCGCCCCCTCCACCTCTCAAGCTCTGCCTGCCACCCTAAGGGCTTCTTGGACTCTGGGTCCCAACCCCTCCAGCCAGCTCACATGTGCCCATGGAGTGGGGACCCCCAGAAACTCTGGAACGCCCCGAGTCCAGCCTCTGTTCTCACCAGCTTCTGAATCCACAGGGACACCCCAAACTCCCTGTAACTCCCACACACATCAGTCCAACACCTCTCGCTCTAGAGCTCTTTCCCTCAGGACTTCCTCAGCTCAGCCACAGTGCACCCTTCATGGGAGTGGCTTCTGCTTGTGGTTCCCCTCAAAGCAGACAGCCAGGCCTTTCCTGTGAGGCAAGAGGGTGCCTTCGGCACAGCACAGGGAGCAGCTGAGTGCTCGGCTGTGGGTGCCAGCAGGGGCCCATCCCGGAAAGGTCCTAGTCTGCTGCCCGAGCCACGCTCCATGTGGTTCTGCTCCGTTTGGAAGTTGTGGCTCGGCAAACACATCCCGAGGTCTGCACCATCGCAAAACAGGTCCTGGAGGGACGGGGAGCCCCTGTGTCCAGGTTCCTGGTTTTCAGAAGGAAGCTTCCTTCTTTGCGGGCGGGGGCGGGGGGGGGGCATGCTACCCTCCAGACCCGCTTCTAACACACTGACTCCACTTTCCGCTCCCTCTGCCCACCTGGGCCCCTACTGGGTGCCCACTCACTCCCTGCCTATCTGTCTGGACTCTCTACTGTCCACTAGGGTCTCCAGCTCCCTGCACTCAGGGGCACTCAGCAGATCCTGCTGAACCAACAGATGGGCGGGGGTCTCGGGAGGGGGATCTGGAAAACCCACCGTCCTGGCAGCCACTTCCCAGGATCCCCTCTAGCCTCAGACCCCCACTTCTCTGGATGTCAGCCCTCTGTAGTCCCCTACAGCCCCAAAGGCCCTGTGGTCTTCCACAGACCCCCAAAGCCTCCAAGGTCCTCCATGCCCCCACAACCATCTACAGCTTTCCACATGGCCCCTCCGGCTGCCCACACACCCCACAGCGCCCAAGGTCCCCAGCCTTCCACAGCCCCACTGCCTCCCACTGCCCTCTGGCCCTGGGACTGAGGACACTGGCCGAACTAGGCCCAGGAGGGCCATGGCTGGTCAGGCGTCCAGAGTCTCCCCTGCTGACCCTGTCTGAAGGCATTTCCCAAGCCCAGGGGAGCAAGGCAGAGGAGGGGCCCTCGGTGGGGCTGGCCGGTCAACTGGCCAGTGGGGCCAACTGTGCGAGGGGCTTGGCCAGGCTGTGTCCCTGCTCAGCCTAGCAATCAGCCTCTTAGAGCCTCACTTCCTGTCTGACAGAACAGTGACACCCCCAACTCTCACAGGGGTACAGTGTGACCAGACAGGGTCCTTGAACCCAGGTCTTTGTGGGGGCTCATTTTCTTGCTGACTGTCCCCCGCCACCAGACCCCCACTGCCTCCTCCCCCTGCTCTAGGGGTGCCTGGCCTGGGGCGTCTGGAGGGAGGTGCCCTTCCAAGGGGGACAGAGCCCAGCTGGGGCGTGCTTGCTCTATCTCTCTGTCTCTATCTCCATCTCTCCCTCGGGTCTCTGTCCCATCTCTGTCTCTATACCTCTGTGTGTCTGTCTCTGTCTGTCTCTTGGCCCCTCTCCCTGGTTCAGTTTCTTCTGGAACCTCTACCTGTGTCTGCCTCCATCTCTCTGTGCCCCTCTGTCTCTATCTGCCTCTCTCTGTCTCTCTGTGCCCCTCTGTTGGTGTCTCTCCCAGTCTCTGCCGGCTCTTGGTTCCTGGAGTCCCCCCGATTGCCCCTGGCGCCCCACTTCCATCCCCTCTCCAGGGCCCGGGTCCGCCTCAACAGATGGCCTGGAACAGGAGAAGGGCTATTTTGGGAGCTGGTGGCTCCCCTGGGTCTTTCCCAACAATCTTGGCGTTAGCACTCGAAAACAGGCCCCTGGAGTGGCCGGGTGGGTGGCGGGGACACAGTCTGACTGCTCATTGTGTAGGACAGAGGGACCGGGGGCCTGTGTCTGAGAGTCCCCTCCAGGACAGCAGACCAGGAAGCAGAAGTGTGACGGGGGCACGCCTGCACCAGCTCATATCCCCAGCCCCTGCCTTGCCCCCACCCAGCCTGGTCACACAAGTCCCCCTCCAGCATGTCACTTCCCAGTGGAGCGGCCAGTGGATTCAAACTGCTGACCAGCACGGGACCCACAGCCCCTCGTAAAGCAGGAGGTCCCTGCTAGATGGGGAGGGGAGGAGTGAAGAGGGGTGTGGAGGAGAGGGGAGGGGTCTATAGGAATGAGTCTGGTTGGCATAGTGCATTCTGATAACCTCAAGGTCAGAAGTTCAAAACCACCACCAGGCTTCCGACTCCTGGTAAGAGTTACACTTGCAGAAACCTGCAGGGCAGTCCTGGAGGGTTCTGAGTCTGAAATGCCTCCTGTGGGGTTTGGGTCACGAGGAGAGAGTGGGGAGCTGGGTTGGTTGACCCATGTCCCCTCTGAAACTGCCAGGCCCCTAGAGCTCAGGAGGGACCTCTGGGTCCACCTGGGCCCATCCTCTGCTGCGTCTACCCTGATGGCCTTCCCAGGACTTCCTGTGGCCTGTGGCCCTGTCTGTTTATAAACCTGGTGAGCTCCGTGGCCAGAGGCAGCCGGAGAAGGGCGTCCATCTGGAGAAGCCTTTAAGGTCCCCAGCAACACAGATGTCAGCCGGCTGTCCTGAGGCCCCACCCGAGGCCCTGTCCTGGCTGTGCTCTGCCTGCCCCCAGCCCAACCTGCAGTATGTGGGCCTCTTCCTAGGGGCTGCCAGCTTGGGTCAGGGCCCAAGGGATTCCAAGCCCCCTCCAGCACAAGCTGCCGCCACCCCCACCCCCTTTCAGGACAGTGAGACAGACCCCTGCCTGGGTCTCTGAAGCAGCCAAACAGTAAACCAGGGTTCAGGAGTCTCCCAGGCACTCCTGTGGCCAGTTTCCTATACTCTCCTAAGTCCTGTTCTCAGCAAGACCCATGGGGGCCAGTCTCACTTCCCCACAGCCCCACAAAGCTCTGCAGTCCCTGAATGCGTGACCTCACCCTGCAGGGGGAGAGAGCGGACTACGATCGGGACATTGCTGAGTCCGCCAAGGTATGTCAATGAATGCCAAGCCCGGGACCCCCACCCCGCAGAATCACAGTTTGGGATGCTCTGCCGGAGGGCTGAGGCGGGGCCAGTGGTACCTCCATCCTGGCCTGTCCCCTCCCGGGTGGTGGGTAGAACCTGCAGGGTGCTGGGGCCCCTGAGTCCAGTAGCACTGGTCAGGCAGCTTCTCCACCCCATCGGGGCCGTGGCATGCCCTCCACATCCACGTCTTCTCAGACTGAATTCAAGTGCCACCCCCTCCAGGAAGCCTTCCCTGGCCCCAGAGCAGGCCCAGACCCTCCATCTATGTGATTGTGGGGGACCGCTGGGCTAATTTGTTTCATGTGAGCACATGGTCTCTGTCCGTCTGTCTGTCCCCCACCAGCGCTGGGACCAGGGGGCAGTGAAAATGGGGAGCTGGCTGGATGCTTCAGCAGCAGCATGAGAAAGCACCCCTCTTGCAAAGGGGTGAGTGGGCCCCGGCCAGTGCCATGCACACACAGCAGGTGCTCAGCTGTCCAGTGGTCAGAATGGGCTGGCCACCTGCACTGCCCCGCCCACCGGTGTGGGCAGGTTGACAGAGGGCCACCCCTATCAGGGAAAAAGCTGCCTCCTTCCCATAAGGTCCCAGGCAGCTCCTGGCATGAAGGCCAGCCTCGGTTTCCCCCAGCTTGGGCTGGAGAGGACGGGGTTCAGACGGTCCAGGATGAGAAGAGAGACAGTGGCTGAGGGCATCGGGGAGCAGGACAGGTGAGGAAGCTCCTGGAGGTGGGCACCCTGCAGTCCTCTCCAGAAGCCACGGTCCTACTTAGGGTCTCAAAGGTCAGCCTCCTAGTGTCCCCCTCTGGGCCTCAGTTCCCTCATCTGTGGAATGCTGACATGATGCTTTCAAATCCTCACTCCCTCCAGAGCGGTCAGGTGCTGGACTACAAGCTGAAAGATCGCAGGTTCAAATCCGTCCCCCAGTGCTGCAGATGAAAGGCCAGGTTGTCTGCTTCCCAAAGGTCACCACCTTGGAGGTCACGGCCATGGAGGCTGGAGGACCACTTCTCTGCACACCCGGGGTCAGAAGAGCAGTGACCCCTCCATGCAGGGCTCCAGCGCCCTCTGATGCATCGGGCAGGCCCCACCCAGGCCTGACCAAGGAGATGAGTGGGCAGGGAAGTGGGGAGAGCTGGCCCCAGCCGGCTGCGTGGGGGTTGGCCATTCGCCCCTCCTCGTGGAAGCCGCCCAACACCTCTTTGGGGCCCAGGGGGCCCAGAACTTCCGCACTGACTTCACTGCTAGGGGAGTCCTTCCAGATGTGGCCGGAGCGGGGGAGGCCGCTGGGAGGGCCTTGGAGTCTGAGGAGGGCAAGGCAAGGGCCTGAGAGGATGACCGCTGCAAGCAGCACTGCTCTGGGCGTCCAGGGGTGGGAGTTCCAGTCCTGGCTCTAGGTCCACAGCGAGGCCTCTGCTTGAGCAGGCTTCCCAGAGCAGTGAAGACCCAGGCTGGGTTACCCCACTGCTGGCCTTGAGAGGAGGTTGGGGTGCAGACAGATGGGGCTGCCCTCCAGGGGTTCCTCAGCCGGCCCCACCCCTAGGACCTGGCCCCATCCTTGGGACCTGGCCCCCAGGCCATAGCGCAGGGGCTCCGTCTGACTGGGGTCTGGGCACCAGCTCCTTCTGCCCAAGGCCACTGCATTAGTGCTCACAGAGCAGAGGGGACGTGGGGTCAGGCCACCAGGAGAGCAGCTCGAGAGGCAGCGGACATGGGCATCGAGGGACCCTGTGTACAGTGGCCAAGATTGGGCCGAGGGAGGACAACAGCTCAAGGTCACTGGCTGGAAGAAGCCTGTCCTAACCCCAATAGTGTTCCCACTGGGAGGGGGCAGGAGGGGTGGGATGCCCCTGCCACTGGGCTGCTGTACCCGGTGGGAGAAGCCATGAAGCCGGCAGGACTCAGCCTTGCATGGGTCTGCCTGTTCCCCACCTCCCTGTGCAGGCTGCCCTGCTGAGCCACTGCTGTGCAGCATTGCCCCCTGCAGGGCATGCTGGACGGGGCACCGCTGCAGGCCCGGGCCCAGGGAGCAGTCAGGACCACCTGGAGGCTCCCAGGACCTTCCTATCCTGCCCTGTCAGCCCTAACCCCGAAACACAGCGCCTAGGATGGTGGGAGAGGCTGGCCAGGCGGGCCTGGAGTATAGGAAGGGGACATTTTTGTGGGCCCAGTGGACACACAGGGCAGGGCACATGGAGATCAGAATCTTGACTGGAGTCCCTTGGGGGCAGCTGCAGGGGCTGGCGGACCAGTGGCAGTCCTGCTGGAACCACCCTGGATGGGCTACCCCCTACCCTGAACTGCACACAAAGCACCACAGGCAAGGGGGCCAGGCCCACACACCACAGGATGACCACACACTCAACACACACACACACACACACACACACACACACACACACACACACACTTTGCTCCCCAATACTCCCTTCCAACCAGCTCCCAGCCTGCAGCTGCCGGAGAGTCTGGGATGTGGCCCCCTGCCACTCACTCACCCCAGGGACCCAGCCTGGCTGCCCCCTCCCTCCCTGCCACCTAGTCTGAGAAGGGGAGGTGCCAGGCCAGCGGGTGTCCAGTGAGGGAAAGGCTCTTCCCCACCACTCAGTCTGGAATGCGCTGACCGAGGCCAGGCCTAATCCCCCTGTGCACATGGGGCCTGCAGAGCAGATGGAGGGGCAGGGGATGGATTGATTCAAGCTGGGAGGGGACAAGCTAGTGACCCCCGATGGCCATCTGGAACAGACAGTCAGAAAAGACCCCCAGTAGCAGGGTTACCCCCTGCCCCCCCACACTCAGACTTGGGCCCCTCAGAGAGGCCTGGCCTGAGCAACCTTTCTTGCCAGTGTAGGGAGTGGCTGCCACCCCCCCTTCACCGCCCCCCATCTACAGCTCCTAAGTGGTGAGGTCAGGCAGGGGGCAGGGTGCAGGCTGGAGGATGGAGAGAGGAATGGTGGGCAGAGAGACCTTGTCAGTCCACCCCGCCTGTGGGTGGGGCCACATTGCCCAGCCTGCACTGCCCAGACCTTGGGCGTGCCTCATCTCACTGGCAGTAGCCAGGAAGATGGCTGTGCAGGTGGGTGAAGGAGCAACATGTCCACAGGACTTGGGGGCTGTGGGGTAGGGTGGACTGGCGGGTCGGGTCCCATGCTCTCAGCATCCCCCTCCTCTTCCCCGCCACCTCCCAAGGAAAGGGCTTTGGGAAGGGCTTAGAGTTGGCCTGCTGGACCACTAACCAGCCTCAGCCATTGGGAAGGGAGTGTCCCCTCTGGCCAGGGCTCTGCACTGGGCACAGGGGGGCGCAGTGGGGCCGGGTGGGCTGGGCCCTCTGGGCAGGGGGCCGCTGCTGGAGCTCCCCTCTTCTGCTGAAGTTTGAAGCCTTCTGCTCGGGGGGCCTGGTGCACGGCTGGAGCCTGCAGGTCCAGGGGCAGGAGGACTCGGCGGAGGACAAGTAAGGGCTGTGTGCTGGGGTGGGGGTGGGGATTGAGGGCTGGCCAGGCCCAGGGTGGGGGTGGACTGGTCACATGCTGTCCTCATGGTCCACCCCGCCCCCAGGTTTGAAATCAACTTCGTGGCTGAGTCCGGGGATATCGCCTTCCATGTGAAGCCCCGGTTCTCCAGCTCCACTGTGGTGGCCAATGCGTGCCAGGGCGGCCACTGGGGCCCCGAGGAGGTGTCCAGCGTCTTCCCACTGGCCCTGGGGGAGCCCTTTGAGGTGATGGGGTCCAGAGAAGTGGGGGAAGCTCCTGGGGGCAGGGAGGGCCTGTGGGGGTCGAAGGGGAGATGGAAGGTGCTGGGACCCATCTACAGGGAGGCCCCAGGAGCACACAGATGCAGCTTGTCTATGGGGGAGATGCCACCGCAGGAGCCGGGTGGGGATGGGGGGAGGGGGGACTGTTAAACAGCAGTGGGGACAGGGCTCCCCAAGGGTGTGCTCTCTGCTGAGTCTGGGAGTCCCTTCGGAGAGAAGGGGTCCCCAGCTAGGGCACAGCACCATCATGGGAGGCATGTCCCTAGGCTGGGCTTCCTGGGCTCACGTGGATACACTACCCCCCAGCTGGAGGTCCACTCCGATGTGGCAGGCTTCCACGTGCAGGCCCAAGCCCTGCCAGTGCTGTGGTTCCCGCACCGCCACTGGCCCCTGGCGGAGGTCACCCGGGTGCAGGTGCTGAGTGGAAACTGCCTGGCCGGAGTTCAGCTCTCCAAGGGCCCCAGCTGGGGGTGAGGCTTCCCACCCCCACCCCACCCCCAGTACCCCAGGATCCTGACCAGTGCGCGTGCGCGTGCGTGCGTGCGTGCGTGTGTATACAGCTATGAGCCCGTTCTCTGCCCCCGGGCCCACTGTCCACCACCAGCCCCAGCCCGCTGCACCCCAGGCTGCACCCCGCGGCGGGCATGAGACTGAGGCTCCTGCCCGGTGCTTGCAGGGAAGGCGCACCTTGAGTGGAGCTGCACACTGGGAGCCGAACCTCAGCCAAGGCCGCTGCACGTC